CTCAGAATAGTTCTTCAAACTTTGAAAGATAAGGAGTTGTATGCCAAGTTCTCTAAGTGTGAGTTTTGGCTTGAGTCTGTGGCATTCTTGGGCCACATAATTTCTGGTGATGGTATTAAAGTTGATACTCGGAAAATTGAAGCAGTGAAGAATTGGCCTAGACTCACATCTCCAACTGATATTAGGATTTTCTTGGGTTTGGCTAGCTATTATAGAAGGTTTGTAGAGGGGTTCTCATCTATTGCATCCCCTTTAACGAAGTTAACTCAGAAGACAGTGAAATTTCAATGGTCTGAAGCTTGTGAGAAAAGCTTTCAAGAATTGAATAAGAGGTTGATTGCTGCCCCAGTTTTGACCTTACCGGAGGTACTCAAGGTTTTGTGGTGTACTGTAATAAAAAGAACGTTGTAATCGCTTATCCTAGTGAATTCTACATGTTTGCTGAACAAAAAGCTTCTCAAGCTCAAGTATTTGCTTTTCTAGTTATAGACCAACGTCTTGGGGCTAATGTGGGATCTGCTCAAGGAATATCTAATGCGTTCCCTAACCGGAGAAATCATCAAAAGCCCAATTGGTTTGCTTCTTCCAAACCTGGTTGTCAGGTTTTGAAGTGAAATCAGTTCTATTTTCAGGCAACCCCACCAATACTTAAGGGCAAAAAATGGTGAGCTTTCTTAAACAGTGCCATCTACTTCAGGAATGGATTGAATAGACTAAGCTATGACTTATTAGGGAAAGATTCAATCTCAACATTTGGTGTTCCCGATCCAATGAGTGGAATACTTGGAGTGAGTAGTAAGAATAATGAAGTCTTGAAACCCGCTGATGGAATTGACGGAATTTCGATCTGACGTCAGAATCTCTAGATGTTGACTGAAGTCAACTCTTCCAAGTACTTAAGCTTCCAAAATTCAAAAGTCGCACCAAACTCAACCAAACACTTCGGAAAGCGTGCCACCCTACCCATCACCACACACATGCTATAGATAAAATACAGGGAGGGGCGAAATAGGAATTGCATGCATAAAACACATAAATGATCCCGAGGATGATTATAATGCATCAACACATAGCATAATGAACAAGACTATTTGAACCCACAGGTTATATCACAAGTTTATTTCAAATGCTTACTATCACATATTGTACAATATGACATTACAAGCAATAAACATGCAAATACACATATCCCAATAAGCATAGAACTATCACTTACCTCAAATCAAGCCCCTTAAAAACTCTAAATAGCCCCAGATTTCCTCTTGCGAAAGGTCTTGACTTGTTCTTGGTCTAAAATAAATAGTATAACATTCAATCAGTCACAAATGACCTATTAATTTACCCAAATTACTAACAAATTCCAACCCCGGCCAAAATATGATCATCTTCCCCAATTTAGGGCTCCTTCCCACTGTGAGTTCATGCTTAAACCTCTTCCCCAACGTTAAACAGTTAGTTTCTAAGTCTTAAGAAACAATTGATAAGATCGGGGAGTCAAATTCTCAACTTTACCGACGATTTTCATTGGAAAATTTATGTTGGCTGCACAAAATTGCCCATCTCTGCTTCAAGAATTCATATGGTAGAAAATAGAGGTTTTGGGCAGTTTTCTACATAAAATTATGATTCTCTCGCTATAGAGACTCCTGCCTCGCTATAGCGATGCCGCTATAGAGACAACTTACCTCGATGCAGCGGTCATGGCACTGCTATAGCAGGCGATCGTTTGCTATAGCAAGATTGACAAAAGTTTAAAAACTTCAACCCCAAAAAAAGGTCATTTTTATAAGATAAACTCTTCACTTGATGTCCCAACTTATACCTTTCATGCCAAGTTCAATTTTGGGAGTTCTACTTACCCGAATTATATTTCGAAAGACCTTAGGATTCCTTAATATCTTGGCTAAAGTATACATCAAGCAAATCATAATAAAGGACCCCATCCTTTCCCAAATGACCCTAGATCTCACATAGCCCAAATCTTATCTAAGGGTGGCCTAGCCAAGAATTTTCATGTTACTACCCGGAAAGTTTTCTAACCCAAATTTCATCCCTATAGGCCTATTCATAACAATCGGGTCAGGTCGTTACAATTTAAATACATAATTGTATCTTTACATAAAAAATAAAAAAGTTCTTTTTTTGTAACAACTAAAAAGAAAGAACATATTTATTTTTTATTTATGGTGGAGGTGGCAGTGGTTACAATGACGGTGATGGAGGAAGCAATGGTTGTTTCATGTGTCGAGGTGCGTGTTTACTAAGACGTGTCACTTAAGGCTTCTCCCCCTGTCACGACCCGATTTATCAAGTCATGATGGCACCTACTATAACCCACCAGCAGGTAAGCCAACCCGTAACCCGGAACAACAAGTAATGGGTCTGAGGGTAGAAATTAAACAAGAGTAGGAAAATAACAATATAAACAGGCGAAAGCAACCCAAATCATATATACAAATAAAGATCCCTCCCAGAACCTGGAAGTCACCAGTACAGAGCTACTACAAAATGAGTACAAGTCCTAAAACCGGACAACAGAGACTGGACTGTCTCGAAAGGAAAAAGACAAGTCTATATATACAGATGGAGACTGAAATAGTACAAAACGCCGTGTGCTCACCCCCGTCTCCGGATAAGTCTACTCCAAGCTCGATCAACGCTGGCTACTAGTGCTCGGACCTGCATCACAAAATAGATGCAGAGCGTAGCATGAGTACCAAAACAACAGGTACCCAGTAGGCATCATAGGCCGACTGAGCAAGATAAGCAAAAGTAAACTGAAATGCAAATAAAGGGTCACATCAAGTGCAAAGAGTAGTAAATAGGGGGTATGTACACGAGCGTACAGGCAACAAAGACAAGCAATCTAACTAACTCCGCCGGGCTCCCATAAACCCGACGGGTACGCTCGTGCACAATAAAAGAAACCACCTGCACGGACCCCCATAAGCCCGGCAGATGCACCGGCAGTTAAAGTAAAATAATGGAGCTAGAAGGTCTATCACAATATTACCAATTTCCGGACTTTTAACTGAACCATTCCCAATCATATTCCAAGATCTCATTACGTCCCGGACTTTAACCGGAATCTCTTCAACCTCCAAAACCTCAACCTACAGATGAGAGTAATCAAGACTAAACTGAAGCTTTAGTGAGGAATTGGGAATACACCACGTGCAAGCTGGACCACGGACTCGAACCGGGTGCTGTAGCCAAAGGTCGGGCACGGGTGGGCTGGACCGCGGACTCGAACCGGGTACTGTAGCCAAAACCAGATCACAGGTAAGCTGGACCACGGACTCTAACCGGGTACTGTAGGTAAGCCTGGACATAAGTAAGCTGGACCACGGACTCTAACCGGGTACTGTAGCTAAGAATCAACATCCAACCATACGTCGCGGGAAATTATCACCAAACCGATTACCATAAATAATCATTTCAGTCCAACTCTCATATACCCCAAATCGCCGAGGAAGTATCCAATAGTGAGTAAGCTAGACCACGGACTTTAACCGGGTACTGTAGCTAAGAATCAACATCCAACCATACGTCGCGGGAAATTATCACCAAACCGATTACCATAAATAATCATTTCAGTCCAACTCTCATATACCCCAAATCGCCGAGGAAGTATCCAATAGTGAGTAAGCTAGACCACGGACTTTAACCGGGTACTGTAGCTAAGAATCAACATCCAACCATACGTCGCGGGAAATTATCACCAAACCGATTACCATAAATAATCATTTCAGTCC